TAGAAGGGGGTACTAATAATATTAGTAGCGGCTCAGAGGGTATTAACCTCTCTTTAAAAAGCCTAAATATTAGTACCTACTTCTTATTCCCTAAGTTAAATAATTTCGTTTTCTAAGGCCTAAATACGCTAGGGGCTATTCCTAAACTATTAAAATATAATTTTAAAGTTCTAAAGCTCGTTCGTAATTTTGTTATATATAGTTTATACTTTAATAATATTTACGTCTCCTTTTTTAACTCTTTTTTAAAGTCGTTTATAAGTTTTTTTTTTAAAAGTAACCTTATTATTAGAGTTAATATTTATAAGGGCTATTTTTATTTCTTTAGTTAGGTTTTAAATAAGCTACTTAGAGAAAATAAAAGAGCTTAAAATAAGAAATTTAGCTAAGGTATAAAAAAATATCGTTTATACTATTTAATTAGTTTTTTATAAAATAAACTTATTAAATAAGAGTAATTAAAGTATTATAGCTAGCTAGTTATAATAAATATATTAATAGAAATTAAAGCTATAAATACTAAGTAAATAGTATTATAATCGTAAATAACTTTTTTAAAATTATATTTATAAATTATAAGGTAAACAGGGCTTCGGTAATTAATTATAATTTTATTAAAAGGGTTTTTTAATAAAAATAGCTAAAAGCGATCGTAAGATTTAATACTAAGTTAATTACTAAAAAAGCTATAAGAAGTCTATTTTTAAGTCCGGTTTAAGTTTATACTATATATAAGTTTTATTTATAAATATATTTTTTATAATATTATTATTTATAATTACTTAACTATTTACTAAACGGTCGTCCGTCCTACTTATATATAATTATCCGTTTTACTTTTTTATAAACGTTTATTCTTTATCTTATTATATAATTATAATTACGTAATTTATTTATAGTTTTTTTATCTTAAGAGGAGTTATTTTAGGTTCGTTTTTTCTATATATATAGTATAATAGCCGCTATAGGTCTTATGGGGCGGCCCCTAGCCTTGTTATATTTATTAGGTCGTAATATTTAAAGACCTTTTTTTTATTTCTTATTTTTTAATTAATTATATCCCTTATTAAATTAAATTAAAACTACGCTTTTTTAAAAACTACTTCTATTTTTTTAAATAAAATAAGCAACTTAGAGTAATTATTAATTAAATTTATAATATCTTTAAGGCCTCCTTAGCCTTTTACTTTTTATATTCTATCTTTTTTTATTTTTTAAAATAATAATTTATTTTAATAAGTTAGTACTATAATAATAATAAAAATAAAAAAAAGTTTATAAGTATTTACTACGTTATTATTATTATAATTCGTTAAATTATAAGTAATATATTTACTATAACGTTTTAAATTAAATAAATTTATTTTATATATATAGTTATATTAAAAATAAAAAGAATATAATATTACGTTATAGCTTTTATATTTTATAAGAATATTAAGAGCCTAATAATTATACTTAATTTTATTATAACGAATTTTATAAGAATTAGATTTTTAAATATAACTTAATATAATATTAAAATATTATAAAAATAAACTTAACGGACCCTAACCCGGGTTATAACTATTTATTTATAAGTTTATAAAACTAGATTTTTAAAGGGAGAAGCTAATATTACGACTTAATATATATAATTAACTTAAAAACTAGTTTATTAACCATAATAACTATAATATACTATATATATAAATAAAATAAAAATATAATTATTTTTTATAAAATAGAAAAACTATAAAATAAATTATATATTAATAAAATAAAGATTATTTTAAATTAAAATAATTTAATACGACTTAGGGTTTAAATAATTATTTTAAATTAAATTAATTAAAAATAACTTAAAAAATAAAAAATATATTTAAAAATAAGACTTATATATAATATAAACTCAAGCTAGGCTTAAAAATAAATTTTTTATAGCTTCTTTAATAATTAACTTAATATTAAATTTTATAATTATTTTTAACTATTTTTATTAAAAACTTTTTTAATAAAACTATAATTAATTACTAAAGCTTTATTTATTTTATAACTTATAAATATAGCTTTAGAGAAGCTATTTTTAACTACGATATTATTTACTTAGTACTCGTAGCCTTAACTTTTATTAATATACTTATTATAACTAGCTAGTTATAATAATAAGAGGCTACCCCTCGGTCTTAGTTATTATTAATAAAAGAGCTTTAAAATTACTTATAATAATAAATATAACTAATAAATTATTACTTATTTATTTTATATTTATAACTTAATACATAATATAATTTATTTTATAATTCTTTTTATAAATAGATTTTTATATAATATTATTTAAATTTACGTATTTAATAGTACTTTTTATAATAATACGGATAGTTTAGCGTACTTTTTCTAAATAAGGATTTATTTAAGGGGGTATATTATAATAATTTTAATTATTTATAGCTTTATTATATATTATATAACCTCGGTTATATAATTACTTAAGGTCTATATTTACTTATATTTTTTATTTTAGGGCGAACCTCGTACTTATTTCTTACTTTTAATAAATAACTGTTCTCTATATTTAATATTGATGCCCCTATTTATAACTATACGATAGGGATCAAAGCCTGGAGTTCATAACCTATTCGCTAATATGTTTCGGCATCGGGGAATGAGCCACTCGAATGGGATTCCGATTCTGTCGGAACATGCTCCTTTGCCGATGTTTCCTCAGCTTCGTTCGCATGGGGCGCAGTTCGATCAGGTCTTACGCACCCGGAAATCCGGGAGAGATCTCGGTGTCGCCCGCGCCGATCAAGAAGGATGGCCACGCAATGCAGCGGGCCGCGTCTTGTCACCCCGCGTTTGTGGGGTTGAGCATGGATCGGGCTTCAACCGGAGAAGATTGCGCCGGTGCTGTGTATGCACACTCTTGTGGAGTGGTATTGACGATGCACCATCAGATGCCTTGTGTTGCCCAAAGATTGTATGGGAGGCTTTCGTATCATCGAATAGATATTTATAAGGCCCTTCGTCATGTCGAATATTTCAATCTTTGAGGCTATTCTTGGCATCACACCTCTATCAGAGTTCTTCGGTCTCAAACAATCATCATGCTTCCTAAGGCCGCTTTCCTCTTGTCTCTGTCGTCATGGAGTGTGGCAGCTTCACCTTTCGAGAATCCGTATGGCCTTAATGACACATCATTTTCTCATCCAGGCGCTTTGCATTCCGCGAAAGACTTTGCAAGAATCAAGAACCATGTTCAAGACCAGGAACAGCCCTGGTACAGAGCCTGGCAGCATCTAGAAGCCGGAAAATTGGCCCAGACCTCGTGGAAGCCAACGCCGCAGTCGGTTCTCGTCCGTGGCACAAACGCCACCTTTGCGCCCACCAATAACTACGGTTATGCCTATCGCGATGCTCACTCAGCGTACCAGTTGGCCATTCGATGGCTGGTCGGAGGCAATACTTCCTACGCAGACCATGCAGCCAAGATCCTCGACGGCTGGAGCTCTACTCTAGTCGATATCAACGGCACTGAAGACAAATATCTCGCGTCAGGGCTTTACGGATACCAGTTTGCCAACGCCGCCGAACTCCTTCGTGGATACTCCGGCTGGCCCAAGCAGAACCAGACAGCTTTTGGCAAAATGTTGAACGGGGTTTTCGCAGTGTACAACTACGACTTCCTCGAGCACCACTACAACAAGCCGGACTTCTACTACGCCAACTGGGACCTGTGCAACATTGCCTCCCTGATGGCGATTGGTATCTTCAACGACAACAGAACCATGTACGATTACGCGGTCAACTACTTCAAGAACGGGATTCCGGGGCAACCCGAGGTTGTCGCTAATGGTGCCCTACCCTATTTCTCAATCGCAAACTTCACGGAGGAAGGTAGCGGAAAGACTCTGATGCAGATTCAGGAGTCTGGCCGTGACCAGGGGCACGCTTTGCTCTGCATCGCTCTCATTGGAGTTATTGGGCAACAGGGTTGGAACCAGGGAGTTGATCTTTTCAATACCTTTGGCCGCCAGATCCTGAACGCGTGAGTTATCTTCCCGTCCCATTTCAGACTCTCTGGCAAGTCACTAATTGAAGCTAGCGCCGAGTATGTTGCCAAGTACAATACCAACCACACTGTCCCTTACACGCCTTATCGTAGCTGGGAAGGTGTGCTGGAGGTCGTGGCCCCAAAAGCTAGATTTGATGTACGACCTGGTTATGAAGCTCTCTACTCCCACTATGCGGAACTTAAGGGTCTCAACGCTTCATGGTCAATGGAGTTCCGCGACTTTGTCAATGGCAATTTGACCGCCAACATCGAAGGTGGTGGTGGTGACTACAGCCCCAACTCGGGCGGGTATGATTCGTTCGGACATGGAACTTTGCTGTATCGCATTGAGAAAGATATTTAAGCTTCAGCCGAAAAGAGTGTGGTGCTAAGCTATCTAGGCCAACACTAGTTTAGAAGTCGTTAAAGGACGGGGTCTGCTCAGCTGCTGCAATCATATTTCACACTGCGTGCACCAAGTTGAGATGACTGGCTCGCGACTTCTCAATTCAAAATCCACTCAGTAACTATGTTTTCCCATACGGAACACTCACCCTATTCCCATTCTGCTTGACATCAAAAATATCCGTCAACAAGTCTTGCATCCGCCTTAATCACGAAGCCTAGTCCACTTCCAGTTTAATTCTGCATGGTTTCGAAGGTCGAGCTTTCATTATATTAAAAAGTTTCCTCCAAACGCTGCCTGTAAGGTAGCCGCAGTATGAAGTTCCGGCGCATCAAGAGCTCCAATCTCCTTGACGTGATGGTCGACCAAGCTTCGATGGCTTTAACCCTTTACCAGTGAATAAGGATGCTACAATTTTTTTCTGAATTACTCGTTCCAAAATGTAAAGTTCGAAAGGCGAACATTCAGCTTTTAGTCTACAGTTATTTTTTCGAAGCTGCTTTAGACCTTTCCTGTCCTAACTAATTATTGTTGACCAACAACGCCAACACAGTCATTTCTTCATCGAAGAATCGTAGCCGTTCCATTTCCCAAACCCTCAATATCAGACTTAACTGGCAAGGACCTAGGCAGTGTAGGTAGGCTAGACTGCTCGGCCGAGAGCTGATCTTCAAGGTCCAAAGGAGCACGTCTCGGGATCTCAGTCTCATTAATTGACGATCGAGAGAGGCCATCTGATCCGGTGCTGGTGACATATCCGGAGGGCGGCTGTCGAGAGCTGTCATCAAAAGTCCGGTTGTTGTTGTTCGCCGATGATCCAGTGACAGTGTGCTTTGCAGCTCCCAAGGTCGATGCAATTGAACCGGGAGCACTGTTGAGTGCATTCGTGCCTGCTTGCGGCAAGTTTCTCGCCTTCTCAGTGGCATTATTGGTCACATTAGATGCCGTCTGTTGGCCGCTTCGAGCAGTATTGCTAAGAGTCGTGCTCGCATCAGATGCAGCTTGTTGTGCCTTGGAGGATAGCTCTGCCGTCTTTGCTTGTCCGTCACGAGCGAGCTCTGCGCCCTTCTGAGCGGTTACGTTTGCCGCATTTTGAACCTGTACAGTGGCGTCGTGGGCGACCTGCCGTCCCTGAGGCGAGGCAGCGAGAGGAGCAACGAAGATGGCAGTCACCCCGACTACAGCTAACCAAAACGGAGACAAGACTTTGATGAGCGCATATAAGGATGCAAAGCCGACGAAAGCCTGAAGATATGTCAACGAGGGTATCCTATGTCATTTGCCGCATCCAGTTTTCGTCCAATGGCTACTTACGCCAAATGTCCTTCCGAGGTCTTCACCGTAGACGATTCGTTGAGCTTCTACCACTGCATATTGAGTGAAGTCGTGAACATCTCTCAGAGTGTTGTTGAGTGTAGACTCCGGCAGTCTTCTGTACTGCCTAGGTCGAAGACGTGTAGATAAGGAGTCGGAACCGAAGGACCGGCTGGCATACTCAGCAGCAGAGACAACTGGGAGACGTAAGCATTGGTCCACGTGAGATGATCACTGCATGAGATTGCGTATATTCTTACCTCCAAGTGTAGTGACCGCCGCCTTCAGTGCCAATTGAGTGAGAGGCAAGTAGTGTGCCCCGAACAAAATGCTCAAGGTGCCAATGTACACACCAAGGGTACGCAGAGGATCTTCCCACTAAAGTTAGGCGTTAGTAAGGTTCCAGTACGGGTTCCACGTAAGTAAATACATACATTGATATACTTGTAGAAGCTATCTTGTTGAGCTGCGTGAGGAGGGTTGTCAGCATCTTGTTATAATTGACGGAACGAGGTATATCAAATACCCAAAACCTGTCGTAACGGGCCATCTTGCGCCGGTCTTGGCGACTGTCCTTCGCTCAGGGCATTCTGGATTTTTGATGCAACTAGAAAGTTGGGAGAACAAAAGTAAGTCTCCTATCCCACACGAAATGCTGCCGTGCTTACAAAACTTACTCTGCGATCTTTCCTGGTCAGTATGACGGGATTTTTCAGCCGATCCAGGCAGAACGATGACGGTTGGGTCAGCCATGATTATGACGTCGATGTGTGGTTGATGAGAAGTTAGCGAGTAAATGTGGATATGATCAAAGAACTCCACACAGGCGGAGGGTTTGGAGCTTTCACTTTGATTTGATGAGAGAATAAGAAGTGCAAATGTAACATCAAACAGCGGAAGCAGACTTTATCATTAAAGCCAAACCTTCAAAACCTCTTGGGCCGCTCGTGGCACGAAGGCGTAATCTGGTGTATTGCACCACCGGTATGCGGTTACACGGTGTGAGGGGAAGGGGTTACGAAGCCCAGCGTTCGTGACGTACATAGCTAGTCATCGCGTATCCGCTAAACTGCGGTGGGATTCCTCAATGTCAAGAAACGGCTCGCATACCCGCTGGAATCGAGATACTGTACGCCGCGCTGTCATTACCTTGACCAAGGTGAGGGGGAAACCCTTTGATGTTCAAGGCCAATTGACGTCGTTCGGCAGTCATTTGGGGTCCGTTCCACTTGCAGCCCTGACGCGCTTTGATGACGAGGAGGCGGGGTGTCTCACCAAGACATTACGGCACTGGCATTCCGCTACACTGGTTAGAGCCAAGATGATATTCAAGGGACTAGGTACTCATTTGCTTACATACTCAAGACAGACCAAGTGCGTCGACTAGTTCATGTTGTCACAGGAGCTGAAGCAGGTATTAACAGACTTGTTCTTTCAGCTGTGTCCATTGAGCCGCAGAGGTATGTTCGCGTACATGAGAGGTTCACACGTGACCGTTCACTTACGTATGAAGCCGTTCGGTCTCGCGGTACGGCCCGCTTCCTAGTGCGTGAGGTTTCAATGTGCTCAAGCATGGTTCAGATGCAACCCTAAAAACCCATGGATAAAAGGTGTAGCACTTAATCAAGAACTTGACTAGATCTAATTACGATGTGGACCTTCACTTCTCACTTCAGGATGAAAGGGTGCCTCATGAGAGTCGACACGACGTGGATGAACAGTTGCATAATACATTGGCCTGCGCTTTTCTGACGCTTCCGATGCTAATCGAAGGGTATATGCGCTCTATGAGAACCATATAGTATACAAATAAGACAACAGAAGAAAAGGAAAAACTTTCTCTACATGACACGCCAGATTACATCTCACATTAGATGACCAAAACAGCCATTGCCGCTACAGCCGCAAGCAGCGCGCTAGAGCTGAGCTTACTAGCACCGGCCTGAACAGGGCCGGTGGTGGTTGCCGGGCAAGCGGCGCCGACACAGGGAGAGGCAGATCCGGTGCCGATAGGGATCACGGCGGTAGTAAGAGTGCCGTTGTATCCATCCGATGGCGCGACGACCAAGGTCGTAGGAATGGGGGGAGGGCCGCTGGGGGTGCCAGAGGCGCCGGGGGTCTGGAGGACGGGCTTCTCGGCGGAGATGGTGCTGCTGGATGCGGGAACACCAACGGTAGGAACACCGGCGCCAGGAGCGGTAGAAGCACCGGAAGTGGCAGGGACAGGCTTCTCGGAGACGGCAGTGCCACCGACAACGGGGGTGGTGACGGGCTTAGGGACCGTGGTGGAGATGAGCTCGCTGGTGACGACGGTAGACGTCCTGGCCGGGCAATTTGTAACCTCTGCGGCGCAGGAGGTGATCGTCACGAGGTTGGTCTTGTATGTGGTCAAGACGGTGGGGACGTCGGTGGTAAGGACGGGCTTCTGGCCTACCTCGGTGGTAGGCTTGGCGACAACGGCGCTGGTAATGATGGTGGAGGTTCTCGCAGGGCAGTTGGTCACTTCAGCAGCGCAGGAGGTGATGGTGACGATGTTGGTGAGGTAGGTGGTGATTTGCTCGACGGGAGGCTGGCCGGTGACGATGGGTTTCGCGGAACCGGCGGTGGTGGGTACGGCGGGGACACCGGGGATCGTAGTAGGGATGACCTTGCTTGTGATAATAGTGGACGTCCTAGCTGGGCAGTTTGTGACTTCTGCTGCGCAAGAGGTGATTGTGATGATATTGGTCTCGTAGGTTGTGATGGCGGTGGTGATATCGGCGACGGGCTCCTGGGAGCTGACAGTGATGGGGACATCGCCGCCAGCAGGCTTCGAGGGGGTGTAGCTCTCGACAGGGATGGCTACGGTCGTCGGGATGACTGCCTGACTGGTAACGGTGGTCTGTCTGGCGGGGCAGTTGGTGACCTCAGGAGCGCAGGAGGTGATGGTGTGGACCTCGGTCTTGATGACGGTCAACTGCGTAGGGACGTCGACGACGGGGCAGATGGTGGTAGTGACAGCAACGACCTCGGTGACGACCTGAGGGGTCTCGCGGGCCGGGCAGTTGGTGACTTCGGCGGCACAAGAAGTGATGGTCTTGATGTTGGTAGCGTAAACGGTGGAGGTCGCCAGGCGGGTAGTCAAGCTGTCGACGGCGGCGGCAGAAGTTGCAACGGGCTTCTCGGAGGCCACAGCGGTGGACAGGGCGGAGCTGACGACAGCGGTCTGCGCGACCGAGGTAGAGGCCGCAACAGTCGAAGCAGCAACCGAGCTGGAGATGACAGAAGCAGTGGCGTTGCCGTCCCTGAGGTTGTAGTACTTGATGGAGCTGATCTTGAAGTAGACATCGGCAAAGGCAGTCGGGTTGGCGGCAACGTACTCCTTGCAGGTCATACCGGTCTTCGCCTCACAGGTCTGGGTCCAGATACCATCGTTTCCAGCCACACCGCAGAAGTCGATGTTGGCTACGAGCTTCTGCTCCTCGAACAGCTTGTCAGCGGCACAGGTGCTGGTGGTGAAGCTGGGCGTGCCCCAGGCATCGGGGTTCGGGTTGGCGCTCGCGATGTCGGCGGGAACGTTGGCGTGAGTGAAACCCCAGACGCGAATGGCGGTGTCGGTCCACTGCATGGCGTAAACTCCTCCCTCGGCGGACCCAAAGGGTGCAGCGGCATCAAGACCGGCACAGCCCTCATTGTCGGACTGACCTGCGGCGTAGTTTGCGCAGTTGGGCTTACTGATGGTGCCGGTCATGTTCGTGCCGTCGATGCGGCACTCGCCGAGCGTGCCATCGGTGTGAAGGACGACCTTGTTTACATTGTCTTCGTTCCAGGTCTCGACGATGTCGATTTCGCCGGCGGCGGGCCAGGGGTTGCCGACAGTCCAGCTAGGAATATCTCATGAGCAATGTGAACGGATTGAGGAATGTGAAAGCAACTTACACCGCAGGCCAGGCACCGCAGACCGGCTTAGGAAGATGAGAAAAGTTGATGACGAAAAGTCCCTGGCCATATTTGGCCGTACTCTCGATTCTTACACTGCTTCTGCCGATACCAGCGGCATCGAGGGTAGATGTAGAGTCGACACCGAGGTAAAGGTCACCATCCTCAGTCTTTACAAGACCCATACTCTGAGCATCAGCTGCAGACTTGTAACTGACATATCCGCCGGTGGGGTCAACATCGTTGTAGTTGCCGGTGGAGTGGTCGCTCTAGACAGATGGTCAGTCAAAGGCCTGATACCTCACTCATCTCATCGACTTGAAACATACCGTGAAGAAACCAAACTTCTCAAGAAAGTTGGTCGAGTCGTAGCTGTCGGCGAGTTGATAGGTCTGGATAGCGGTTGCGGATGACGTGAGGAGGAGGGCGGAAGAGAGCGTGGAGAGAAGCGAAGGCGCCATTGTGGGCTAAAGATCGATGTGAGAAAAAGAAAAGTAGGTGGAATAACTAAACAGAGCGACAGAAACTAGAAACATCAAACGCAATGAAGAAACGACAGAAACTGGTCTTCGAACTGTAAAGTGAGTGAACAGAATGAAGAATTTCGAAGGCTTGTTTTTGAACAAAAGAATGACTTAAGAGACCAGAACAGGAATCTTGAAAGAAGTTGAGAGGGAGGGCCTAGATGCGCAAGGCGCTTGCTCCCATGGGGTTACCATGAGTCTTATACCAACCCGAAAAAGACGGTCGACCCAGACTTGCTCCTGGCCATTCGATTCACCCGCGGAAAGACGGGCTGAGATGCTCAGGGGGGTCTACGACCTACCTGTTTCTCCAGCAATCTCATTCTCATTGGATCTCCTCATACCGACAGAGTCTTGGTCAGAAATACCGGGAGCACTGGTTCGTTCAGGGGCTCTGGATGCAGGACGAACTAGAACATACATAGCCCGCTCCTCCCCTCGACCCCTTGACAGAGTCTGCCGGTTCTAGAGATATCTCAAGGGTTCTTGTGCATCGTCTGCCAACATACGTAAGTAATCGTGGTTCCACCCCTCGCATCTCCATGTCTCTATGCCACTTGTGCATTGACATATGCGCTTGTGAGTGGGCACAAGAATATGTTTCCTGCAGGCCAGAGAACCTCAAACACACCAGCACATAAACGCATGCGCACTAAGTACGCATTCGTTCATGGGACGCCAGGAACGGCAGGGCGGTTGGCTGGCGGCTCAGGCACAGTCCGCGCAAAGGTGTCGTCGTCCCGAGGCCAATGAAGCGGAGGGCGCATGTGTGTAAGCCCATCCCCTGCTTGACATCCAGGAACAGACCCTTGATCGGGACAAGATGGGCTCGAAGTGGACTACAACGGGGGCCTGATGGTGGTCTGAGTGGATGTCGTGGACAAAGTGGATTGTTTTTTTTTGAAGTGACGGGCAGGATTCCGCCGTTCCCCTATTCTTTTTCTCCATTGACCATTCGAGCCGTTGTCCCACGCTAGACAGGGATTGTCTCACTCAAGCCGCCGAGATCTTGATGGCGCTGGTCGCTCTTGGGGGCGTGATTGGCAAAGATCTCCTGCACCGTTGCATCGAATTCTCTAGACCAGCGGCTTTTCTTCAAGTCAGTTTTTTTTTTTTTTTTTCCTCACAGTTCGCTCTCAGTGTCTTGCTGTTTGTTTCAAGTGATGACAGCTCACGAATGGTCCTAAGTGCCGCCGGTCTGCTTTAGTTTCGTTACATCAGAACGACGGACTGTCTTTGGTCATCTGGCCACGCGGCGCGTTAAACCCGTCAAGTTGCCGAGCTTTTCCAAGTTTCCACACCAGTCTACGGATACGCATACCTTTCGGGATTGGAGGGCTCCAACTCCCAACTTCCCAGGGCAGAAAAAACGTGTCGCTTTGATTACTCCCGCTCAGGGGGCTGAGCCTCCCGCTCCGGAAGTCAACGACCAATCCAGACGTTCACAGGGCTGGTTTTCGCGGCGTAGTGCCCGGCCGTCGTGTTCGAATCTGTATTAGCGAAGGGGTTCGCTCCGGTGGAGTTATCAAGAAAAAGCGGCACGGATTTTGGATGTGGATGCCCTGTCTTGTCAACTTTTGTTGCTCAGGTCATGGTTCACGGAGCATTTCCATAAGGCGAAGTTGCACAAATTTACCAAATTGTAGCCTAATGTTTCACGCAGCCAGAGAAGTCACTTTGAGAATGGTTTTATTTTGCTGATGCTCGAACTTTTGTGATTTTTTACTCTCTTGAATATCGGATGGCAGCCCTCGTTTGATGGCTGCTTTGCTCCGCTTTTGCCTCGGCTACGAGCCCCTTGCAGTCTGATCTCCTCTTTCAGCTTTGGCTAACAACACGAAGGCGAGACCCAGTCGGTGGATCGTTGGATGATATCAAGGAATATTCCCCGATCCCTCGGGTCCGCGTACTAAATATGGCGTTCCTTCATCTCCTTCACCTTGCTTGACCGACTTTCTTCTTGAACTGGCCCGACTGGGTGGCATCTTGCACCTCGAGATTCGATATCGGACCTGCGCCTCAAAATAATTGAGCCAGGAACTGGAATGTCAAAATAGAAATAGTATCCCACAAAGCAATATCATCATTCGTGTAACAATATGGGTTTGCACCCTTATCATCTTCCACAAGAGAAACGCACCACCTAATACCACTCGTCTGCTCCAGCATCATGTCCACATGATGTGAACAGTCAATCCAATGACATTGCACACGATTGTGCAGGCTAGATAATTGCCCTACCTTGGGTCGAGTATGCACCTTTTCGGCAACAATGCTTTCAGCTGCTCGTAATCAACAACAATTAGATGGCCTCATTCACTTGAGAATACTCGCTAACGTGCCTACGATTACGCTAAAATCCCACATGCCCGGGAGACGTCTGTTGGTCAATCAAGACAGATCTTTGACCCAAATCTCCATGACTCCAGGCCCTCTCAGTCAATGAACAAGTGCCGTCAACACTCTATACCTGCGTTACGGCATCTAAAGGACGGCACATCTGGACCGCACGGCCAAGTGGAGTACGCCTTCTCGCCTACGGGTATATCCCCTGGTACAGTAACGGAACTGCTTCGGAAGTGCCACTATTCGGGCGAAGATCGGCCCTTGCCTTGAATTCAGCTTGGCTTACGTTGCATTCCGATCCTTTGTGGATTTGCTCTTGAGTTGTCCAAGGCAATAGCATGAATGTCATTCCGGCCTGGCTGTGACCGGTATGACTCCAGACTTTTTGACAGTATCCGTCCTTTAGTACAAATAATCAAGCAAGAGCTGTCACACAAAATGTTCTTGGATATCTTTCCCATTAGAAAGATGGACGATGCAAGCCCCTCGTCTACAATGGTGTAGGTCTAAGGTTTTGATGTCATACTCCGAAAGATGGACCAACTGAGCAGAATTTCTAGATGCAGCAATACTTCATTTTGTATCCTCACAGATCATTTGCATACTTTCAAGGGCAAGAAATGGGTCTTCCCTAAGATCTCAACTGCTCCTCTGCATTGAAAGTTCATACTCGAAAGTCTCCTCTCCGATGCACTGTTAAAACCCTGTAGAATGGCAAAACAAGCATGACATGAGACTATAGATAAGTCGTACATGTACCAAACGATAGTCTGCACCGGATGGCTAGTGAAGGAAATCAAGAGTTGAGAGCCTCCTCTCTAGGAATTCCAAACAGCATAACCTAATTTGGTTTCTTTCAGTGTTTATACTTCAGACCACATGAAAGACCATCAGCCAGTGAAGTCGGCAGGACCCATTCTCAATATTTTTTGAACCAGGAACACTTAGGAGAACCCACATGCAAGTATAAGCATGCGCAATGCTCTTCCCAATCTCACCAATGTCTAACATCGAACAAATCGACTACAATTTACAACTGGGACATCGGGACTTCTCGCGAGCAACAGGTTGAGGCCATCTGTCTGACTAACCTCGGGATCAGGTAATGATTTTCCCAGCCACGAAATCTTTGAGTGACGAGAAATAGAGTAATCTTGATTGAAAACTTAGACAGTCTATCTCATCGCTGTGCTTGGAGGCTCGGATCTGTCCCAAAACATCATTCTCATCTTCAACCCAGAATGACCAAAGCCAGAATAGACACCCATGCACTAGCCACCCCCCACAACCGGAGTACTCCGAATCCTCCCTCTGCACCGCTCATCTGGTTTCCGTTCGCATCAGGCAAAGACGGTGCGTTACGGAAGTCATTCGGAGGCACGATGGACGGCAGCGTTTGAAAATTCGGTGGAACAAACACCGTTACCGGCGTGATGGACTCTGAAGACGGGGCCGAAGACGCGCCGTCAACGGGCGGCACGGATGGCGGCGGCGGAGTAGGTGATGTTGAAGGAGTCTGAACTGCCGGTGGAATGGTCGGCGGTGGTGCAGTTGTTGAGGTAGATGTCTGGATGGCGGGTGGTATAACGGGCGTTGGCGGTGGGGGTATCGATGAAGAGGACGAAGAGGTGGACGACGATGGGAAAGGTTGCGCGGGGGCCAAGTTTGCCGGCAAGGTAGTTGTCACGGCTGGGTTCAACACCGGCGGCGGGGCTACCGGCGGAGAGGAGGTAGTAGTCGTAGAGATCGTCACCGGCGGTGCCGGAGCCGGGGCGGCCGGCGCGGCAACGAAGCCGCATTCTCCAATGATTTCTCTGATATCTGCGCTTCATTGTCAGCACAACCGCCTTTCATTCATACAGCCGAAACTTGGCGACTATCTCGACTCTGACAAGTCGTAGACTCACCATCATTAGCCTCAACAGCCGTAACATTCCGCGAAACACACGACAAACACCCAAACGCCGCCCCGGCAACATCGAACCCCCTCTCCCCACAAACACACGCCCTCGAAGCATTCTTCGCCGCCGCCTCAGCTGCCTCCTTAGCGGCGTCCTTCGCAGCCTTTTCCGCGCTCGCTGAGCGTCCGACGCCCAACGTAGGTACCGCAGCGAGCCCAGATCCTGGAGCCAGACTCGCCGGGGCCTCCTCTTCGTCGTCGCTGCTATCCTCTGACTCCGGCTCCTGTCTCCCGCCGAGTCTTCGCCCCAGCATTCTCTGAAGATTCCTCCTCCTCCTCTTCTTTCTATCCCCTCTCCATTCCCTTCTCTCCTTAATCTCTCCGTCCTGTACCAATCCATGTTGGTATCGTCGAATCGGTAGATCCCGCTTGTCCTTCCCGAATTGGGCCTCCACCTGCGCCTCGCATCGCGCCGTGAGCTGTACGATCGGCGCGCAAACCTGAGCGCACTCGGGCGGGACGTCCTCGGCCTCGAGGTCCTCTACCGCCGCAACACCGGGCACCAACATCAGGCCGGGCAAGTTTGTAGTGGCGGACAGTAGCGCGAGGACAGCGGCGAGGTGAAGCGCCGTGTGCCGGTGGTGGCGTGTCATCTCAGCGTCGGCTTCGTCGAATGCATGCAAGGCGTGTAAGCAAATGTCTCGTTAGTTGTTGGTAATGCTGCTCCGTCTTGCTGGAAGAGGTATCCGGCTTCTTGATGTCGTCGTCGGAATTATCGATCTTCGTTTCGTCCTAGCACAGCTGGAAATAGCACTGCGATTCTGACAGATGCCATCCAAACTTCTTCGTCAAGTGCCTGTAACTTATCCCAACTCTAAATTCGAACAGACCCGCCCTCCATCAAAGAAAGAAACTCCAGACCGGTCTTTTCCAGCCGTAGGAGGGTGAGAGGGGAGGGGAATTCAAGCTTATTGTAAAAACAGCAACCTTCCGCTTCCCGTCCCCCCCACTATCCGACCAACTCATACCAGAATCCGTGAGGTCTTAATGTAACTGTAATAACTTCTACATGATCTACCCCTCGGAAACATCAGGCCAAACGCCGAAACCCAAGTTCCCCAACCCCTTAGATCACTGCCGGATAAAGCATTCGCAGAGGTACTGTTGAACGCATCCCCATCCCGAAACGTCTTGGCGGTATCACCAGAAGACGGTGCGGAACCACGAAAAAGAAGGAAACCCATATTTTCCCGATGGACGTTGCTGTAGGCTTTATGCGCGCGGCTCTAAGAAGCCTCCAGGGCGATTTTAGAGTTCACACTCGCAGCGGGAAGCATCTGGCAGTTAATACACAGAATGAACCACTAAATTTGGCAAAAGAGGGATCGTTGATTGATCGCCTGCTGGGATTATTCCCTTACCTAAGGTAGTAAGAGAAGCCAGAGAAGGAGGCAAAAAGAACGCTGAGAACCCCGCCGCGAGTCATTCTCATCGTATCATTTCCGATCTTTCAAAGTCTAAATAAGTGGCCTCCCTCGCCAGATCGTTAGGGAATTGGAGATAACTACCCGTATGAATGACTCTCAAGCTACTGAGATCTCCCCATCTACGGATTATGCATATCCGAGCCCTGCCAAGTTGCCGTTCTAGAATTCTTACAAAAGAACGGCTCCGACCTACCTCTCCCGTTCCCCTTGTCAATCAATCGGCCGAGTCAAGACGAGTCATTGCAGTCCCCAGAATTATGAGACCTCAGCGTCTTGGACACAAACACGGTATCAATCAGGCCCCGAGAAATCAGTAAGTAGATCTTTAGGCAACTATGACCCTCGGACTTCAGTTCAAGACAACGCCAAGGTCCAACAATTGCCAAAAGCCAAGCCCTGCTCGCGTCACCAAATGCTTGATGATGCTTAGCCTGTTCTCTCATTTCATATAGTCTACACATACCCACCTGCCTCAAGGCCGCTCGCTACTTGGCTATTCCTGCGCCATCACATAGATCAAGTGAATACCTTGATACCATCCGGGGTAAGGCGCCGTTTGTCCTCTGTAGAATAGAACCAGCGTCAACCATGGTAAAGACGCCCATGTAACATGTTATGGGCGCAACAATCCTCAAAGTAGATACCCACACGGGTCGGCATCACACTTCGTGTTCCTGACATCTTGGCTAACTGACTTGACCCCCGCATACTACATGGGTTCAGTCCGCGGCGGATTGTCTCCCCCCCCCCCCCCGGCATTTCCGAACCAGTCCCGATGAGGCTCCCACTGAGTCTGTAACTCTACGAACCAGTCTTGGCTACCATTCTGCACAGCAACGCAAGGCCAACAAGAAAACAAACACCAAGCTGACAAATTCCACGCACCCCTCGTCGTCAGTCTCGCGGATCACGGGTGACGCGTTTGCCATCCCAGAACACGTACAGATACGTAAGATATGGGCATCAGATCTCTCTTCTTGGGTATATTCACTGAGCTATAACAACCTGAATCCTCGTCATCCACATATCCATACATCCATCCGCCCTCCCCTTTCCCTTGGCTTCCCTCCCCATGGGATGGGCCTTGCCCGCCGGGGTAGAGGGGCAATTTAACCCCACGTCCCGCCGCCACCACCTCCACGGCCACCCTTCCTCTGTGCACTCAGCCTCCAGTCGTCCTCCCCAGCATACTTGTTATGCAGAGGCTGGATCCTCTCCGCCTGCTTCCTCTTCGACAACCGATCCGTCGGCGCGACCTTGAAGAAGGTCGGCGCGGCGTCCACGAGCCACTTGGGCTCGATACTCGTCGTGCAGTGCATGTACTCCTTGGTCGTCAGCACGAGCGTGTGGTAAATGACCCACTCGGCCTGCTTCCCAAACAGCGCCGAGCTCGGGTGGAGGTACACCGGCGTCCCCTCGATGAGCGTCTTGTACCCTTCCTGCGGATCCTTGCGCGCCGCGTTGCGGAAGAAACCAGAGCACAGCGCTTGCCGCACGATCTGCGTGTGCCGTCCGCAGCTAACGACGGGGTGTCGATACCGGTCCATGATCTTGACGAGCTGGTCGTGCACATCCTTGGCGCGCTTCATGGACCGCGCCTGGATGAAGTTCTCGAAACACCACGGGCTTGAGTAGCTGCTCTGCTTCCATGAGTTGTAGACATTCAGTAGCGTGAGGTGGTCGCCGTGCGGGTCGTGGAATTTGGCCTTCTTCTGGTCTGCTTGCGATTGCTTCTCCTTGGGTCGGTAAAAGACGTTGGGGAGATTAAGCATGGCGACGATGATGAGCATCTCGGCTGAGCACTTCATGTCAACGGAGATGATGAGCACCTTGGCTAGAGACGGTTCCATGGGAAAGTCTGCCATTTTTCGTCCCAGACGCGTCAGCAAACCCTCGTCGTCCAGGGCGCTGAGCGCGTACAGCTCTTCTAATGCAGTAAGCATAGTATTGATTGGAGGAGGGTCCATAAAGTCAAAGTGCAACAGGTCGTTGATGCCCATGGCCTTGAGCATGAGAATGACGTGAGACAAGTTTTGTCTCTGGATCTCGGGGATGGTTGTAGGCAACATCTCAGACTGGTATGCTGCTTCGGTGTACAGGCGGAAACACTTTCCAGGTCCAGTACGTCCGGCACGTCCAGCGCGTTGGTTTGCCTGAGCTTGCGAAATTGGCGTGACAACCAAAGAATCCATGCCCAACTTGGGATCGTAAGCGTTCTGTTTGACGAAACCAGGGTCAACGACGAAGTAAATGTTGTCGATTGTGATGGATGTTTCGGCAATGTTGGTGGCGATAACCACTTTTCGGCAGCCGGGAGGTGCGGGATCGAAAATGCGACTCTGCATCTCGTTGGGAAGTGCAGAGTACACGGGTAGGATGATGAGCTCTGGAACGTTAGGTCCTAATGCTTTCATCCGCTCGTATAAAATTTCGGCCGATGTGTCGATTTCTTCCTGGCCCGTCAAGAAAAGCAAGATATCTCCTGGCGGCTCCGTAAGGTGAATCTGCATGACGGTGACGAGCGCGGCATCGAGGTAATCGGATTCGGGCTCGCGCGAGTACAGCACCTCGACCGGGAACGTGCGACCAGGGATGGTGAAAATGGGGCAGCCGTCAAAGTATGAGGAGAACTTGTCGGCGTCGAGCGTTGCTGATGTGGCAATAACCTTGAGATCCTTCCTCCTCTTCATCGTCTTTTTCAAAAGCGCAAACAAGACATCCGTAGAAATAGTACGCTCGTGAGCCTCGTCGAGCATAATGACCGAATAGCGCCTCAGGTCTGGATCGACGAGAATCTCACGCTGAAGCATACCGTCCGTCATGTACTTGATCTTGGTCGCAGGGCTAGTCTTATCCTCGAAACGAATCGTGTAACCGACAGCCTCACCCAGCGGTGTGCCAACTTCCTCAGCCACACGCTTAGCAACAGACATGGCAGCTACACGTCTGGGCTGTGTGCAACCAATGACTCCGTCGTTGGCGAAGCCATCCTCAGCGAGATATTGCGTCAGTTGCGTCGTCTTGCCTGAACCAGTCTCTCCGATTACCACCATGACTTGGTGCTCCCTAACAGCATCCAAGAACTTCCGCCTAAAGGCGAACACGGGCAACGACTCTCGCTGATCCTTGATGCTCATGTTTGTCCGCTTGCCAAAAGCTTGGTCCTTTGGCGCTACCGCTCGCTTCCATTCCGGAACAGCGTCGGGCTTGCTCTGGGCCATCTGGGACTTGGCGTTTCGTAGATCGCTGGCAAACTTGCGCTTGTCTGGATCTGCCATCGGGTCATTCCACTGTGCAGAGAGGTCGACCTTGGAGTCTTCCGCCGCAGCGGCCTCCGCTTCTTGCTGCTTCAGCTCCTTCCGCTCCTTTGCCAACGCAGTGCCTGACATGGCAGCTCTGTTCATGGAGCCATCTGGTGCTTTGACAACTCGAATGGGTGACAGTTCCAATGATTGTTTCGTCTGACCGGCCAGGAACGGCGGTTCCTCCTCTCGAACCTCGATATCCACATCCTGCTCCAGCTCCAACTCCCCATCGCCAGTCAGTGTCGCGTTGTAATCTTCTTCGAGGTCGGGGTAATCGGAGGCCTTCGCGACACCGGACGCAATCAGCTGGCGGATCTCCCATCTTTCCGGCGATGTCATGCGCTTCTTCTGCCGGCGAGGCTGGTGCTGCGGCGGCGGCATCGGTCCGTCGTCAAACATGTTTCCGTTCCGGCCGCCGCCGCCGCCGCCTAGAGCTTGCATATTTGCGCCTGAGGATATCCTGTCTTCAGGGTAGAGATCCATGCCCGTCTCTTGGTCCACCTCTTTCATTGATAGTCCTATCCTGGTCCCCTCAATATTGACAACCTTGACTTTGACGTCTTGGCCCTTCTCCAACAGATCGGACGGGTGATTGACCCGCTGGCCTTCCACCAGCCTGGAAATGTGAACCAAACCATCCACCTTGCCACGAACGCCGTGTAGGTTGACAAAGGCGCCGAAATCCTTGATACCGGTGACGTGTCCGCTATACACCTTGTGCAACTGAGGCGCATCATCGACCTCGGGCTCAGGCGCCCTCCTAAAGCGTCCATCGTCTTCGTCATCGTAGTTGCGTCTCCGACTCCTCTGCTTCAGCGAAGGCCCGCTCTCGAAATCGTCGTGCGATCGTGATCTCGACCTGTACTTGTCGCGCTTTCTTCGCTCCCTCGACCTTGATCGACCCCTCCGCTTCCGCCGGGTGTCGCGCCCGTCGTCTGGACTGCGGCTCCGCTTGCGCGAATCTGATTTATCTTTCCGCGCCTTGCCCTCCAAGCCCTCCAACAGCGCAAGCGTATCGTCAATGGCGTCGACGCCGTCGCCTATGCTATCGTACGCCACCGGCTTGTCGGGTACTGACAGACCTCTGAAAATCTCGTCCTTCTCTGCGGCACTGCGGTGATGGTGTTCGTCGCTGTTGCCGGCACCATTGCTGTTCTTCTTTGCTTTTCCCTTCATCTTTGGGTGCATGGTGAGCACCAGACGATCAACACTCTCGACTAAACTCGGGGGGAAGTCGGCGCCCATGCCGGCGAGCTTCTTCTTGAAGCCATCATAATCTTTGGCGTCGACTCGCTGGGCGATGATGAATTCGGCAAGCGTCTTGTCGGAAACGCCCAAATGGTTCTGCAATTCGGACGTGACCTTTGACACGAGCGACAAGAGCTCGAGGTTCAAGAGGTCGTCCATGGTGGCGTAAAGTAGGTGACCTGTGGGTTGAAAACAGGACCTCGAAGTGCGATGGTCGCTGGTTGAGGCCTCAAAAAAGTCTAGGTTGCTGCACGCTGCACGCTGCGCGCGACGAGACATGACAGCACTGACAGGGAAGAATCGGAGAAAGCACTTTCCGTTCCGACCTCGCCCCACCCGACCCGACGCTCGAAAAGGTACGTACTACCTACCGTCTGCCGGAAATCTTCCTCCTGCTCTGCTGTCGTTTCCACTCCAAAGAAAGACAACCAAATGATTGTCCATGGCTGAGCTAGCAGGTAAGGCAGGTATAATCAATTTCCCAGATGTTTTCATGAAGCAGAATCAAAGGAAGCTTTAGTGTTCATCTACATGCGGCCACTTCCTCACTCACCTTTCATATTCCACTTTCTCGTCCATCTTCATTACCTCTAGAACATCTCCCCCCATTTCTCTCACCATACAGACAAGGTAGCATCATTGTAAACGAGTGTGCTGAGAAGTGAGCAAATTGTTAAGAATAGTGAAAGGGGAAGAACGAGCGCGGATGGACCATGGCAAACTAGAGGCATTGATAGCGGAAGTGTTAAGCCGTGGTACGAAGGTATCTAGAGCTACGGAGCTGTCTTGAACCTCTGGTGAAATAACCAAATCTCTGTAGTGTGGGGCTCTCGAGATACCACCCCAAAGTTTCCAGAACAGAATCTCCCAGGCTTGATATGTAGATCGTGTCAGTCATTCAGGACGGTTCGTATCAGTACAGCTAGAGCAGTACGTTGCTTTACGATCAAATGGGTATTATATACTACTATTAGACTGTGTCCCTTGGTCTATTCTGGCTTGCCAGGAGAAGCGCTCGACAATACCGCTACTTCCGAGCACTCGTCATGCCCAATTTCCTTCAGTCAATGTCAACCCACTCTCCCGCATTGCCCGAGCGACATCTCCATGTGGGGTTCCCGCAATTTTAGTAGATATCGTCCGTGTTCTACCTGTGCAGCCGGCCTGCATTGGTTCCATGCAGGGCCCATAGTTGATGCGAGGTAACCTTTGGGTTCCCTGCCGTTAGCACGCTGCAGTGACACATTTTGGACTACAAAGCAACAGATGCGCAAGTTATGAGAAAAAGGTAGTGGTATTGAATGAGGTTGCAAAAGAATCCCCGACGCCCGGTGTGATGATGATGATGATGGTGTATCTCAAGGTCGTTATCATGGATGCGAGCCTGTAGTCCTCCTCAGGAGCGACTGCTACTTCGCACCATAGCGCGCTCGACTGTATCTGGGTATTGTAATCGTTGAGCAAACCGTGCTCGTCTGTAGCCTGCTTGTAGATGATGGTCTTTGTTTATCGCACAAATCATGGCCCGCAAAAACTTTTCGTGGTGGTGCTGCGAAAGTCGAGGACCAGTAGCCTCTGTATCCCGAGCAACTTCTATCAAGCCGGCAGGAAAGAGGGCTTGAACCTCACTCTTCCTTTTCCATTTCTTCGAATATTTTGATCAGACTCCGCACGCCCTTGAGCGCGTTTTCGTCGGGACCCTGGCCGGGAGTCCACTGCGCGTGTGCAAAATCGATGAGTTTCAACGTAAAGACCTTGGGCAGTTCTTCGTCGTCGTCGTCATCGTCGTCTGAAAGGCTACCGTGATCGGGAACATGGATCGTCACACGGTCTTCCTCGATCAGCTCGATGCCACTATCCACACGGGAGGTAGTTCTACCAGGCTTCTCGCCCTCTGCCTCAATCTTGGCCTCCGCGGCCGCGATACTGTCGACGGCCGCGTTATTCTGCGCAATTGCTTCCCTGAGCTTGTCGCCGTCGCCCTCGAAGACGAACAGCAAGCTGGCCGAGTACATCCTGCTCTCTTCCGAGGAGAGGACACGTTCAACGTTTCGCAGATCATGGAGGAAAGCCGTGACAACAGCGCGTGCCAGGTCGTCGTCGATACCGGCGGCCTTGTTGAAGATGAATTTGCGGAAGTTTTCGACGACATTATCGGTATTTACGTAGGTGCGGCCGTAGTCCTTATCGTATACCTTGTAGTCATTCTGATCCAGCTCAGATTTCATGGTAGACCCGCGCCAGACCTTCATGCCAGCGATTCTAAAGCCCAGGGGGCCGTGTGTGGTCTTGCTCGTGATATCGTCAAACCTGCGTTTCTTCTCGACAGGCGCATCGTCGGCCCACAGCCTGACACCCAACTTCACGTCGAGAAAATTGGGCGAGGTGAAGCCGGAGCCAGAGTTGTTGAGGACGACCGACTGATCGGTCTTGATCTTCTTTGACTTGTTCTGCACCCACTTTCCATTCTCCTGATGCGAATCGGCCGGGGGTTGTCCGGTAACGGAGGCCTCGAGCTCCTTCTTGGCTTCGGGCGAGGCGACGGGACCGGGAACACCGTCTTCGACAGAGCTGAGTTCGAGAGGGTCGAGGAGGCTCAAGGTTCCCCAGAAGTCGGGCATTATTTCTTTGAAGTCGGAATGCGCAGGGTCTGAGTAGGCCGACTGGTAAAAGTCGATCTCTGCCTGCGTGCAGGGCTTGATGAACATGGAGCCATCGGCAGTCGTCATGGTTCCAGCACTGAAAATGGCGGACTAGCGTTAGAGTCTTGGTTCTTTTGCAAGGCTTTGCAGCGCACCTCGTCGAGCATAGGGGGCGCCGAGGGCGAGGGAAGCGAGGCAGAGCAAGTACTTACTGGCCAGCAACAGTGTGATCGTAGTCGAGAAGATCAGAGAGATCCGGGAGATTGGGAATCTTTGTTTTGGCCATGTTGCTTGCGCTGGGGAGGGTTGGAAAACCAAAGAGGATCGGTGGCTGTTGAAGAGTGTTTATGGGCGATTCGGCTGCCCAGGGGGGATCCTAGATGCGCCTGGCGCGTCCAAGTCGGGGTAAATGGAAAGTTTTGTAACGGATGCGATGCTGGATGGCCGTAGCGCGGCGTGGCGAACTGATGTGTTGCTGCGCGTTGTGCGACTTCTTGGCTTTCTATTTCTCTGGCTCTCTCTATCTGGTAGATTTCGGTAAACGGCAGTCGGGACGGCTTGGCAAGGGAAGCGAACGGAGGCGCGAGTCTGAGAGAGCAGTGGATCGGCAATGTTGAGAACTTAAGAGAAACGAGCCTTCAGTGTCGAGATGAAGGGGACGGGGAGAGGTTAAAATGCAGTTGGTCGAGTCCCGGGGTGTGGGAGGACGGTGACAAGGGAACAAGGTTAGATGACAGGAGGGGGGAGGAGGAAGAAGAAGGAGGCGTAGTCACGAATACACGATGGATTAGTGAATGTTTGCCAGGCGCCGGCAGCCCAGCAGCAGTCAAATTGATTTAGGCGCGAGAGCGAGATTGAAAATGCCATTCGCGAAGGGATACGTACCTCCGAGGCGCTACGATGCCCTGTTGTACGGATACCGTAAGGCAATTCGTACTTGGAACTTTGCGAAAGTATCTCTGTGCCCATAACGAAGCGCAAGGCACCTACGCAGTACTCCGTCCTTTCAGCAGCGCAAGGTAGGTACTTTTAACAGTGGATCGCCGCGCCCCCCATCCCCCCAAAGCCTGAGGGAGGGTTCCATTGAGTACGTATCTACGGGGCACTTACCTATAGTGTCTTATCTTGCCTAGCTTAGGTAAGGTGGGTTGCCTTGTGCGAGTGGCATAAGGTACCTAAGGTGACCAAGGTATGGACGGGACAAGAACTCTGTTCAGGCAATGAGCGCTGTTTCCCCCCTTCCATCTCGGCCAGAGATGCTTGAGAACAGAGACACGAACACGTCGTCGCAGCGGTCCTGGCAACAGGCATTATTTGCCTTACCTTGAGGTGAGGTGGGTGGCACGGGATGGAACAAGGAAAAGGGACTAGAGCAACCGCAAACGCCAAAGAACCCCCCCGCTGCCCGCTGTTCTCAGGGACCTCTTCCATTGAAACGACGCTACTTCCTCTTCCGCCCCCTCCATCCACCATCTCCAGGCTCTGTGCCCCTCCAAAAAAGACCCTTGCCAGCCGCTGCGGGAGTCCAACGTTGGAAGAGAACTAGAAAGGTGGCGGAAGCTGCGAATCTACTCAGCCACATCACCAATAATCTCTTCTTATCCCTCATTTTCGACTTCAAATTCAGCCCTTTTCTCTCAAAGTCCGCCTTGTCCAGCCGCTGGCCCTTGCCGCTCCCACATCCAGGCGCACACACGAACCACTCGCATCCCACACTCGAGCCACTCCGTGAGCCATGGGCTCCAACCGCCTGTCCCGCAGTCGGCCGAGTGCCTTACTCAAGTTCCTTGTCTCTTCCCCTCTATTCAACCTTGCTCCAAAGTTCCAACGGGGCCTGAATAGGCGCAGCTCATATTCCCTTTATTTGCACGACACAGCAAGTCGAGGCTTTGATCAGGGTCGTCGTGGTCAACGAGCTAACTTCCACTGGTGTTCAATAAACCGAGGATCCTGCATACCAAAGGACGATGCGTCAGCTGGACCGTAACCTTGCTTACAGCGTACCTTTCCGAGTCTGACTCTGGCTTCTATGGACACTTCGCTCTCGGGATTTGTCGCTTTTGAACAACCTGGACGGTGTGACTGTATCTCGTGAATCGACGGCGACTTTACACGAAATGCCAGTCGCGAGTTTCGCCATGGCCGAAGATCTGGCTCAGACCGTTGGACAGGTTCATCGTGATGCTGCCCACCAACACCACCATCACCAAAAGGTGGCATCGCCACGCCCATGAGATCCAGAGGGAATCAACGGCCTGTAACTGTCTCTCTTCACGATACCACCAGCTGTTCGGGTCATATCGTATTGTCTGCGTTGGATGGTCTCACCGCTGCCTCTCCAGCGCACGAGAGATCCCCCCTCTTGCTCTCCTGTGACAGGACCAAATCATGTCAGCTGGGCTTTCCACGCAGCAGATGGAATATGCAGCCCTCCGCCTTGGTCAGTCATCATCCATCCTCTTCCTCCTGCGGCGCGCGCCATACGAATGCGATGGGGACTTGTCATGCATGGTGATTGTCACTCCGCCTCAGTTTTTTTCCCCGCCTCAGAGAATCAAAAAGCCGCGCTGCAGATGCAAGCCATCCTACAATTCCAATGATATTGTGCCGCGTTCCACATACCTTAGGCACGTACGGCACCCAGGCTTCCACCCACCAACCCACCGGGCGTGCTTTTCACGTCGCAAACCCCTGAGCAACCCAGGCTCTCGGAGACAATTGGCTCGCCGTCAGGCGTTTGTCTGGAAGATCGTCTGCAGTAGGCCTCCGATAACTGGGAATGCCGGAGGTGATTGGGTCGCGTGGATTCTTACATCAGGCAAAGATTAGATCGGATCCGCGATCTGCGCATGCCGTTTCTGAGGGCCAAACAGCAACTCGTGCAATCTCGATCCACGTTTGTTGTATTGGACAAAGACAGAGATTGATTTTGACAGTAAATTTGCTATCAAGGTAATTGCATGGTTCTCTTCAGTGTGCTCTTACTCTTAAGTTGTGATACGAGGAAGGCAGTGATGCAAACCGTCTCCTTCCCTTGAAAGTGAGGTGAGAGGGTGATGGAATCGGAAGTGGAAAAAACGAGGAATACTATTTCCCTGTATGCTAGGCCCCTTAACCTACTTTTCGGCGAAATATCTTTTTGAGGACCAAAAGCGTGAATTGATTCCTCCTTTCCCCCTCAACTAACCTGCATCTTTCCTCTTCGACCAAACCAAGCTGGAGAGTTGCTCTTCCTCTCCTCATACAACAAGACATCCATCTTCAACCACAACGAAAAGATCACATTAACATGGCAGGCAAAAAGTCCAGTACGGCCGACCGCGGTCCAACTGCCATGCATAAGTATCGCGGCACGGGTTTCGAGGGTATATTATCATTGGATCATATTCGATCGCGGCTGTGCCTTGCTGACATGTTCTCCTAGAATTCTATGCTGACCCTCCCATGACTCCTGCCGAAGCCCAGGAGGAGCGCGAGAACATCTACAGCCTGTAAGTAATTCGTGTCATCCATCGCTAGCTCCGGGCAATCACTGACGTGTGCTTACAGAGAGTTGACCTTTGCCGAGTAAGACTCTTCCTTCCTCATTTGACTGAACAAACTTCAACTGACAGACGAAAAGACGCATCCAATCATGCATCCAGCGCTACCGCGCTCGCCGCCGTCTAGGTGCTTCCGACCAGATCTTCAACAAGTACCTGTTCTTGGGAGGCATCGACACGACACCTCGCATGTTTGGCGGCAACGTTGATGCCGACCTTAAGGATATGACGCCGGCAGAGAGACGAGAGGCAACGGCCACTGACACCGTCTACAGCTCCGGTGGCGGTGCCCGATTCTACAACGACGATGATCCCGATGGCTGGGATGTCGACTTTGCCGGTGTGGTCGCGGGTTTCTGCTCCGAGACGCTCCCCCAGGAGACGGCCTGGGACTATGCGCAGATGGGTAAGGCGATTGGCCTGCTGGACAACTTTCTCACCTACATCCTCTACCATGACGTGTGCCCCGAACATGAAGCCAATGTCAAGGAAGCTCTGGATCTCTGCCAAAAGGCCAAAGTCGACCTGCCATTGTCTCATCAAGCTCTCCTCCGATTCCCTGGTCACCTCAACCTGGCGCTGTCGGAGCTGTTTTGTGAGGACGTTTTCTTCTTTGAAGACGCCGATGAATTCCAGCGGCCGGAGGTTTTCTCCCCTGAAGCGGTCTTCAAAGTTGCCATGGCGATGACTGCTACCCAGGAGCAGTACAATGCCGTCATCAATGGTCTGAAGTACGGCACCATTGAGGTCATTGGCGAAGAGGAGTGCAGCGTCGAGATTATCTCTATTCACCGGCCGACAGATGAGGCGCGCAAGCTCACTCGTAGCATCCGTCTGGGCAAGGGACACCGATTCGAGCCCGTGGGAACAATTGTCACGAAGCCCTGCATCATTGAGGATGGCTACGACTACGGAGAGGACATCGTTTTGTCCGATGGACAGTGGGACACCTTCTACTTGGAAGACTCTATCTTGCAGCGTTTGAAGCCAGGCTTCAAACTGCAACTCTGCGTATACGAGCTCAACATTGGCATCAAATTCGTCAAGCAGGCTCGTCAGGTCCTCGTTGGGTGGTACACATTCCTGCCGCAGAACCTCATGCGGCATTACAAGGAGCCCGTACCTAATGAGCGCCCTGCCCCATCGGCCATCAAGGCAGACGAGAAGATCGGGAATGAAGAAGTTGTCACTAAGTAACTGCCGACGTTGCTGGTTTGATAGACAGATTATCGACTGGCCGTCACTGCGCGAACATCACCAGATTGGCCGTCTCACGGAGGAAGGTTAGAAATAATTGGCCGGATGATTCATGAGCAAGAGGATAGCTTGAGGCTGAAAACGGGTCTTTCAATTAGACTTCCTCCCAGGAAGCTACGTCACGGAGGCATGGGCGTTTCGGAAAGATTGGACCAAGATACCCCTTTACAAAGATGAATTTCGAGGATCTAGTACCTGGTGCCTAGTGTATGTGAATGATACAGTGAGAAATCCCACCAATCTCTCGCGTAACCTCGTGCAAAACGTTATTACTTCGTCAAACCCCAACTCCACACAGCGATGGGACCAAAAACATTCCCCGCGCTCATAAGACCTGAACCAATTTACAAGAGCCACCAGTAGAATAACAAGCCGGGCAAGCCGAAGAGAAGAAAGCCAGTGAAGTCGAAGAGAAACAACAAGGAAGCACTCGCGGAGAGTAGAGAATAGTAATAGCAGCAGTAGAATCAGAGACGCTACAACGCCACTCTAGAGTCCCTATCCTACTCTAATCCCGAGTCTGGATCTTGTTGTCGCCAGCCACGACCTCAGCATAGCTAGGCGGCACAGCACCATCGCTGCTTCCCTCGCCAGCGCCACCCTGCTGCTGCTCGGAGTACTGCTGAGGCTGCTGCTGCTGCTGTCTCGACGAACCACCAGCATTGTTGTTGTTGTTGCTGCTGTTGTTCGTGGTACCGTATCCGACGGCGCCGTTACCCTTGCCGCCGTGCTGCGAGGGGCGGGGCTGCTGACTAGGCTGCTGGGTGTGAGGACCGTTGCCGTTGCCGTGGACAAAGACGTAGGTGACGCGACCGCCCTCGCGGTCCTGTTGCGGGACGGACTCGTATTCGTAGTCTGGCTCGGGGAATTTGGCGATGATGTACCAGGCATGGATGAGGCCCGGGATGTAGCCTAGGAGGCAGAGGAGGATGTTGATTATTGAGTCTGCGCCGCAGACGCCGCGCTTTACCCAGACTGGTGAGAGAAGCAGATGTCAGCTTGGGAGATCATTCAGTGATGCGCTCTGGAATGCGCGGGTTGCGGGGGAAGGGGGTTTGGGAATTGTTGATTACCTGGGAGAGGCGGGAAGAGGAGGGCCAGGAGGCCGAGGAAGATGTCTGCGGAACACATTTCGGCGGGCGTAAGTGGTCGTATCGGATGTGTGCAAGGTATGGAGGTGATTGGAAAGAGACTCGCGAGGGTCCCTGCGATGTTGTTTGTAGTGATTTGTAGGAGTCGCTTTTTGGCTCTTCGTAGAAAGATGGAATTGCTAAGAAGTAGTGGTGGGTGACTGAATGGGTGCAAATAAGGTGACGTTTGCGCCTTTCGCCTCTCTCAAGGTTTCGGTCCCGCGGGCTCAGATCAGGTCAGCAGGCAGGCAACGAAGCGATTGAGCCATGAACCGGTACGTAACGGGTCGTAAGGTGCACTAAGGTACCTTACGGGTGGCGGAGCTGAGCGCTGTGTGGTGACTAGTGAGGCGTGGGGGGCTTGCGTAATTGTGCTGGTTAGGTCCGAGGTAAGAAGGGGAAATGATTGGTTATCGCGGAAGAACATGCGACCGAGACTGAGGCAGCCGGGGGATCTGGAGTGGGGCTCGAGTCCCTGAGGGGCATCAGCGCACCGGGGTGGATCCCTGGATCGTGCGCTTTTGCCGATGTTTCTGGACTTTTGCAGTTGCTTCTTAGGGTCATGCGCCTCGACGATTACCGCATTTATTCTCAAAGTCTTTCTTGAAAGGATACCTTAGCTGGGCTCAATACGCCTTTCTTATATTATGTTCCCTCCCGAAAAAGTACACATGATACGCACCGTGTTCTCAGTCCCGCTAGACCTGGAGAATATGCAGGAACCATGAAAGCCACATGCGACAGTGACGACGGCCCTGAGAATCGCTGCCCCGCCGAATAAACCCCCGCCAGGTGTGGGAAGCTCCCGCACGGACCATTCCAAAATCCCCAGCCGTGATGTCAAGGTCCCCAATTGAAATTCCCAGTGGGCGCGTTGGCAGTGACTTTCCACGCGACTTGAATTGCTGCATCTTTGACGATTCTTCGACCCTCCAGAGGTCGCAACGCTCATTACTCTCAGTACCCGATATCCTATGATCATCAGATAATCCAACCATGTCCATCCCCGGTTTGGGCCACCTCGTGGCGCCAGTAAGCAGAATACAAACACCGCCTTCTCTTGAAACCACACCATCGAGAGAGAGCTTGAGAACCGTCAGCTAACACACAACCACCCACCACCAGCAACCGACGTCCGCGAACCAAACCCGCACAATCCGCCTCCAGCCCTTCTGGGAATGGCGCTTCCAAGTCGCCTTCGACACCCAAATCACTCTCAAACTCCTCTCCGGCACCGCCGAAAAAGACGGCACCGAGCTCGCCCTTCAGCACATCTACACCTTTGCCGGCACCAAGTCCAAGATCCTCACCCTGCAGGGATGCGAGCTCGAGGTCGAGGGCGTGCTGGCGGACGAGTCCGTCGCAGAGTACGCCAAACCGCAAGACTCCCCCGCCAACTCGGTTCTGAACCTGCACTTCCAGCTCACCGCCATGCGCCAGCGCGCCGCCGCCGAGAGGAGGGAGGGCCCGCGGATCGCCGTCTGCGGACCGCCGACGATGGGCAAGACGAGCCTGACGAGGACGCTGACGAGTTACGCCGCAAGGGTGGGCGCGCAGCCGTTGGTGGTGAATACGGATCCCAAGGAGGGGATGCTGAGCTTGCCGGGCACGTTGAGCGCCAGCGTCGTCGGGTCGCTGTTGGATGTTGAGGCTGTTGACGGATGGGGTACGACGCCGACGAGTGGACCGAGTCAGGTGCCGGTGAAGCTGCCGCTGGTGTACTACTACGGCCACGCGAGCTCCGTGGAGGACCCGGCCAAGTACAAGGAGCTCGTGAGTAAGATGGCGGCGACGGTGACGTCGAGGCTGGGGCAGGATCCCGAGGTCAAGGGGTCGGGTATGATTATTGATACGCCGGCCGTGACGGAGACCAACCAGGTTGGCATGGAGAACTTTGTACACGTTGTGGAGGAGCTTTCGGGTATGTTTCCTTCTGTTGTGACGCACTCCTCCTTCAACTTCTCTGTTGGTACTAACAGAGTGGCAGTCAACATCATTATTGTGTTGGGCTCAGCGAGTCTCAACGCCGAGATCTCTACGCGCTTCTCGACGGAAAGGACCAGCCTCGGCGAAAATTATAGCATCCTCCTCTTGGAGAAGTCAGAGGGTGTGGTCGAGCGCGACGTGGGCTACACACAGCAGGCCTGCGAGGCGTCCATTAAGGAATACTTCTTCGGTAGCATCGGCCAGACGTTGAGTCCCGCCACGCAGCAAGTCGACTTTGACAGCCTGGCGATATATAAACTAGGAGATTGTACGTCCTCGTCCTTCCCATCATCGCGCTGCCCAGCCCAAAAGTCTATACACAATGTTTGCTAACCTCCTTGGCCCTAAGTAGACTCCATGTACGGCGGCGGTGCCGACGAGAGCCTGATGCGCGTGGACCCCGCACAGCTGATGGCCCATTGGACGCTGGCCATCGTCTACGCCTCAGTCAAGGACTCGCCAGAGACGATACGGACGGCCAACGTGATGGGATACGTGTACATTGCCGACATTGACAAGGAGAAGCGCAAGTTGAGGATCCTGGCGCCGGTGAGTGGTCGGTTGGGGGATAGGCCGCTGTTGATGGGCAAGTGGCCGGAGCCATTTATCAACCTGTTGGGATAGGATAATTCAATGATACCATTTGACATCGTCATTGCTGCCGAGGTTTTTTTGTTGTCTCTTTTCTCCTTCCGCAGCCTTACTTTTGGTAATTCCAAATCGTTGGCATACCAGGCTCGACCATGGCTTGGCAAAGACATGAGTCGGCTCTTCTAATTCGCCTTCTGTTGAGCAAACAATGTTGCAAGATCTAGAGGGTGCGGCTCGGCTAGTCTCCCCTTCTCGTGAACGCCGAAGACCAATCAGCCCTACTGACTGGAGAGTAATCAAACTTCGGGCGAACGTCATGGCTGGTTCTAGTCTAGTTGCCTAGCCCAGACCTGAGACATTTTCACTCTATCGAGTAGACTTTGAGTCTCCAGCCATCAACGCTGACAGCCACACAACAGAGTAGTGAGTTTTGCCCTTGGCCAATCTACATTTGAGTTAGACGCCACCAACATAAGTCTGAAGACCCTTTTGCGCCCGATGGATGTGAAGCCAACTATTCAGCTATTCAGCTACTAATCGAGTTACCATTGGTTGCTTTTTTCTTTCGCCGAGGAATATCTTAAGAATCAGGCCTAACTGCTCGGTGTCATGACAGAATGATTTACATGGTGAGGGAGAATACTGATCAGTCATCGCGTTTGATGTGGGTTGTCCTCGGCCTTCGCAAATATCTCGATGAGTGACTAGACCTGGATGAGTTGTCCAGGGCTACTAATGGAACTAAGTGTCAATTGCCTTGCTTCAGTTTCGCAACTTTTTACGCCATGTCTTATAATCGAAGCAAACATTTCATCATTTCAACAGCTCATCTGTGAGTTTCACCAGCTTTCGCCACCCCTCAACTCGACTTTAGGTTGCAGCCTCGAATTCTTTCGAACCCTCTGCAACTAGAGGTTGAAGACTCCTCGAGCGCCAAACCACAACTCACACGACTCAGTCACCCTCCAAGGCTCATAAGCTGCGGGCGCCATGTCTCAGAGAAACAGCAAACATTGCGCCTTTTCAGCAGCTTCTTCAACCTGACTTGATCGAAGTCTACATTCTAGGAAGTCAACAACCCCCATACAATGGATTCTACAGCACCAGAGGCAAGTTGTACCTTGTCATTGTCATCAAGCGCCAATGACAATACTAGACTTCCCTTTCTCTACATCAAAGACCCCATTTTGCAGGCGCCACGTCTTGAGACCCCAGTACCCATTGTGCCTTTCATCAGTCAGGGCTCCGAGTGGTTCCACAGCTCCTCACCCTGCAGAACCCTTTTGGAATGCGATGCCTCATCCTCGAGCTGCAAGTCGAGAGGGAATTGGTCCACGTTGAACACTACAAGGGAATATCATAATAAATAGAGGGTTCATTCCCCCCCTTCTACGTTGCTCTGCCAGTGGGGAACTCGGACGTGGGTTCGAAATCACGCTGGCCCACGCCGTTAACCTTTCCGACTTGTCAAGCGTTGTCACCGCTGAAACTCAAAATGCTTTCATTCCAATTCCTTTACCGCCTGGTTCCAACCATGGGAATATACTCAACGCTCATGAGGGGGAGGGTTGAGTTTGAGTCTGGGTGTCAACAGCAGCAGCAGCAACAGCAGCAACAACAACAGCAGAAGAACAAAAAGAAGAAGACAGCCCCAAAAGTCGACGTGTACAATCTCCACCCCACGGGCTGGGAATCCGACCCGGAAGACGAATACCACCGCCTCTGCACGCTAGACTACTGCTCCGGCACAATCTACTGCGCCTACGCCCTCTTCTTCAAACTCGACCCGGGAGCAGACAAGCACAGGATCGTAGAGGTCCTCAAGCAAGGGCTCGAAATCACGCTCAGCCAGTGCCGTCGCCTCTGCGGGACGCTGAGGGAAGATCCCGACGGCGGGAGCGGCCTGTGCTTCCACAAGAGGCGCGGCGACACGGTTGAGTTCCACGTCCAATGGCTTGACGGCTCTAACAACTCCCACGGCGACGATCATGGCGAAGGCGATGATGATGATGATGATGATGATGATGATGATGGAGAGTACCCCTCCTACGCCGACTTTGAACGCCAGCACTTTAGCACCCGCGCCTTCGGCCCCGACCTGAACCTATGGTGCGTCCCGCCCATGACGCCCGCCGAAAAGCCCTCGAACCGACCCGAAAACAACCCCAAGGCGGCATCCTTCAAAGCGAGCTTCGTCCCCGGCGACGGGCTGGTGCTGATGATGATGCATCACCACTTGGCCAACGACGTCAACGGGTGGGCGGGCGAATTGCACCAGCTGGCCGAGAACTGTGCCGCCATCTGGGCTGCGTCGGCGTCGGGTGCGGATGCGGATGCGAGTGCGGGTGCGGCGGCCGCTGATGGTGGTGGTAGTTGTGGTGGGAGTGTTGGTGGTGGTGGTAGTGGTGGTGATGCTACCTCAACTACTGCTGCTGCTGCTGCGCCACCGGAGCTGCCTCCGTGGGACTACGCGTGCCTGGACCTCTCACGCGTCACGGTCCCGGACCCGCCCGCTGACCAACTCGTCGACGGGCCACCAAGACCATCGCGACATCCTGAGCAGAGGGCTGCTTCGAGGTTGCTTTTTCATATTCCGCGGAGTAAGCTTCTTGAATTGAAGCGGTTGGCGACTCCTGCGCCGGCTACGGATGGAAGCGACAGCAGCAGTAGCAGCAGTAGCAGGAGTAGCAGCAGCAATGGCGACGGCGGCAGCGACTACTGGATCTCGGGCTACGATGCACTCAACGCGTACCTGTGGCGCGTCCTGCTGAAGCACAAGGCTCGATTGCACAAGTCTGATCCGGATGCGCTGGTCGAATGGGTTGAGGCTGTGGATGTGAGGAGGCGGTTGTGCGATGCTTCGGGGAAGCCTATGCCGGCGCGCACGCAGGGGAATGTGATTGCCGTTGCTATCGCTTCGAGGAGTACTCATGTTGTGCCGCAGTTTACAATCAAAGAGGTTGTTGAAGAGGCACCTTTTACCAAGCTCGCGTGGTGAGTTTTCTTGTTTTTTTACTTCCTCTCTTCCTCCACGCAATATTATACACGACAAACCTTCGACTTACACAAGATCAAATACGACGAAATGACAGATGATATGGCTAACATTACTCCAAAGGTACATCCGCCAGCTCACAAACAGTATAACCCCAACCACCATCGACGCAATGTTATCCGGCATCGCCCGCGTCCGCAACAAGCTGACCCTCTACGCCGGCTCCGACGTCTTCCCGCCCACGACCCTCCTCGTCACGGACTGGCGCGACGCGGACCCGTATACCGCGAACTTTGGCTTCGGTCGCCCCAGCGGATTCCGCTGTCCGTGGGACTCTGTGACGGGAGGGCTGGTGGTGATTTACCCGCCGCGTCCTGCGGGTACGGGTATGAGGCCCGGTGGGGAAGACGAGGGGAACGAGATCTCGTTGGCGGTGGAGAAGGAGCTTGTGTGGGATCTTCTTGCGGATCCGGAGTGGAATCGGGTGTTTGAGTTTAGGGGGGTCGAGGTTGAGGATGAGTGACGGAGAGGGAGTGTGGTTGTGGAGGCCAGGATGAGGAGCTTGGGATTTGTTGTTTCTACAGCATGCTTGCAGATGATTTCTTCTCAGGGTTTGTGATGGGCACATGCTATACAAACTTAGTCCGCGATACCTGTGCGATCTGCTTTACGATTGTCGTCTTCTTTCTTACTTTTGTAGTGGACTTTGCTCATACCATTCCCTGCTTCTCATGATTCGCTTCTATGGGATCAATGGGAACTAGCACTATTCAAGAATAAAAACAAAATCATCCAGAGAGAAAGAGAGCAGGCCATACAAGAGCCTAGCTAGCGGACACGCGAAACACAAAAAGTTAACCCGAAGAGTGGCTTTGCCAATCGCGGTGAGGATTTGAGCCTCACGCGGGGGTCGAACCCGCAACCTTGAGATTAAGAGTCTCACGCTCTACCGATTGAGCTAGCAAGGCGGGTTATTGATTGTTGAAGAAGGCAGCAATTAGTGATGCTAAGGAGGGAGCTGGTTGGGTCGCTGGTGTGTGTGCGTGGGTAGGGCTCCGTCGGCGAGTCCGAAATCTCGATGGCTTCGTCCGTGAAAATTTTTCTCGCGTCCGCCTACTCGGGAATTGTGGACGAATTCGGGGTAAGGATGGCTGGACTCCCAGCGTTGGAGAAGTGTGCTCCGTGCGGGGCAATCCACCCGGCCCGTTATCCACGGTTCCGGCCCGGATAGATCCCTTCTTGAATCCTTGGCGTTGTCCTAACCAGAGCCAGGCTTTCTCCCATACACCACGATCCTGCTCGAGTTAGTGACAATCAGACGACAGACGACAGACGACAGACGACAGACGACAGACGACAGACGACAGACGACAGACGACAGACGACAGACGACAGACGACAGACGACAGACGACAGACGACAGACGCCAGGCGAC